TCATGTCTTCATTCTCTTTCATTTTTTCCCAATCAATAACTGGAGCATCCTTCCTTTTTCCAATACCATGTACATGTATACTTTCGCAGTGTTGCCATTCGAACCTGTACCAATAATCCTCAAGTTTCCATTTAGGTACTAACACATTTTCCAAAAACAATTTAAAGCATTTTTCAAAAAACCGAGGATTATCAATGAAGTCTTGGTGCTTATATCTATTCTCGTCCTGTTCTGTTAAAGAACTCTCACCATGTGGCATGAGGTTGTGTAGTTTAGGCCAATGTAGATCAGCAGTACTGAAAGTGAAAAATACCATACACTGAGACCCTAACTGTCTAATCATGTCAGCAAGCTCAAATCTTCTTCTAATCCAAAATTGCTGGGTTTCACGTAATGCTTCACCAAATCATACGATTCTATCTGCCATATGACTATCATTTTCCATTATGTTTCGTACTTCTTCAACAGTATATTGTTTATTATTCAGAATTTGCTTAACGTACACTTTGCTTTCCTGCAACGCTCTTCATCGCATTTGCAAATTTAACGCAAAATATCTCCAACGAGGATGACGAGTGAACCTTCCGTCTTTATACTTTAATAAATGTAAAAATATTCGGTGGGCTTGATCTCTCTAACATGATCCGAACGAAGATTAGCATTTCCGTATAGATATAGAGTCAGAAAGGCACATGCGATGTATCCGGGAGTTTGAATTTCGTTAATAGGGTTCCCATCTATATTTAGCCATATAATACGAGGTTCATTATCTTGCATTCTATTAAAGTGTTATTAATAGCATATTCTTCATTAGGACACGAAAGAGGAGCAGGAACAAAGTTACTCCCTATTATTTCTTCGGATCTGTTATCGTTATCATTAAAAACATTTTCTGAATTCTCAATTCACGGAAGGTGGTCACCTATTGAACCATTGTCAGGTAAGGATAGCAATACTTCTTCATCGATTACAATATCTCCATAATAATGGTTATTTTGTTTCAACCAATACAATGTACGAGTAACCTTAGTATGACGAACGGTAAAATTTCTAAATATCAATCCATTTGCAGACTGACATTGCACAAATATATCAAGTGATGAAGGATTCCTGGGTAGCCGTGTTGCAAACTCTACCACGTTTAGTGGGAAATTGATAACATTTCCATAGTATGCATACTGGCTACCATGAAGACAATATACTGAAACAATAGGAAAGACACGCGCAATTAATATTTCCTCTATTTCAGTAAGGTCTCGTAGTTCGTCTGGGGCATTACCTAGATCCATGTTAGCAGTAGAAAATTTTTTCAATGGATTTTTATCAAAATGACAACGACGATATTCTCCTCCCCGTTCAAGTTTGATGGAAGGGAAACATTCTTTATATGTTGGACAAAGATTATTCGTGAAGCTATTAATCTCTGAATGAAAGTTTTGTAAAAGTTTTCAGTCTGATTCAAAAAGATAGCATTCATCAGGATCTTGGATCTGAGTTTCATCCTGTTGTCTATTATCAGTATTTTGGAACAGAGTTTCATCATTTTGTCTATTGAGTCGCTCATCAACATTCCTTAAGACATGGGTTTCTTTTTTCTATGGTATCATTCACGATTCTTTCTTAATCGTAATTCACGCTGTTCTGCAGTTTCAACAGCTCTTTTCGCACATTTATTCTTTCTATCACATGCACAACGAATTTCACATTGATTAGAATTCTCTTTCGCCCTAATTTTTCATTTTTGCAATGTATCACGAAGTGGTTGTGTATTCATTTTATTTAAAATTTTTTAAGTGTTTAATATCAGCAAACGTACAATGTGATTTGTAACTAACGATTATTTTTATAGCTCAAAAGTAAGTTTTATTTTTATTATTTTATTATTACATACAACGAAAATTTCTTTTATATTTATTGTTTTATTATATAAAAAAAAAAATAATAATAAATTAAAATTTTTTTTAAAGAACATTAAATATTAAAAATATCAGCTTAAAATTTTTAA